TTTCGCTGCCTACTCCTCCGCCGCCATCTTTGTCCCCATGAGTGTTTCTTCCTTTTTTTTTTAAAAAAAATACATTCATGGAATGTGGGCATTACTGGCTGGTCAACATTTATTGCCTGTCCCTAGGTGCTCTTGAGCAAGTGATGGTGCGCTGCCTACTTGAACCACTGCAGTCCATATCCTGTGGGTTGACCCACAATGCCCGAAGAGAGGGAATTCCAGGATTTTTACACAGCAGTGAAGGAATGATGATATATTTCCAAGTCAGGATGGAACATAGTTTGGAGAAGAACTTGCAGATGGTGTCGTTCCCATGTGCCTGCTGGCGTTGTCCGTCTAGATGGAAATGTTGAGAGTTTGGAAGGTGCTGTCTGAAGACCTTTAGCAAATTTCCGCACTGCATCTTGTAGATAGCACACACTGCTACTACAGAGTGTCAATGGTAGAAGGAGTAGAAGCTTGAGGATGTCATGTTTTGTTCTAGATGGTGTCAAGCTTGAGTATTGTTGGAGCTGCACTCACTCGGGTAAATGGGGAGTATTCCAACACTCCTGACTTGTGCCATGTCGATGATGGACCGGCTTTAGGGACTCAGGAGGCGAGTTACTCACTGCAGTATTCCTAGTCTCTGGCCTGCTCTTATGGCCACTGTGTTTATGTGGCGAGTCCAGCGAGTTTCTGGCCAATAATAGTTCCAAGGATATTGACAGTTGGGGATTTGGTGATTGTAACACCAATGAATATCAGGGGCAGTGATTAGATTGTCTCTGGTCATTGGCTGGCATTTGTGTGGCACAAATGTTGAATGTTGCGTGATCTTTGCCTCTGGTCAGCCCAAGACTGGATTTGAACATACAGTCCTTCAGTATCTGAGTTGTCATGAATGTGCGATCATTGGCAAACAATGTTAGCACCATTCTCACTTCTGACCTTATGATGGAGGGAAAATCATTGATGAAGCAGCTGAAGTTGGGCCTCAGTCACTACCCTGAGAAACTCTGCAGAGATGTCCTAGAGCTGAGATGACTGACCTCTAACAACCACAGCCATCTTCCTATGTGCCAGGTATAACTCCAAACAGCGCAGAATATGCCCCTGATACCCATTGATTCCAGTTTTGCTAGGGGTCCTTGATTCTACACTCAGTCAAGTGCAGCCTTGATGTCAAGGGCTGTCACTCTCACCCCATGTCTGGAATTCAGCTCTTTTGTCCATGTTTGAACCAAGGCTTCAATGAGGAGTTGAGTGGCCTTGGCAGAACCCATATGGCACCTGAACAGAAAACAGTGTGGTTGCATTGGAGGCAGTTTCAAGGAGGTTCACTAGATTGATACCAGAGATGAGGTGTTTGTCTTACGAAGAGAGATTGAGCAGTTTAGACCGATACTCCCTGGAGTTAGGTCTGAGGGGACACCTAATTGAGGTAATTAAGATGTTAAAGGGAATTGACAAAATAGATAGAGTCGATGTTTCCCTTTGTGCTACACCCTAGAACAAGATGTAATGGGTTGAAAGGTTATGAAGGGCAGGCAGGAAAGTGGAGTTCAGGCTGAGAGGAGATCAGCCATGATCGTATTAAATGGCAGAGCAGGCTCGAAGGGCTCAATTGCCTGCTACAGCTCCTTATGTTCTTAAGAGGAGGTTCACAGTAGGCAGCTAGAAATGGACTTTAGATCAGGCACTGACAACAACAGCCACAGCTTCCCATTATTCACGTGGAGAAATGTCTGCTCCACTAGTCCTTGATGAAAAAAAATTAAAATAGAAAGAAGTAAACTTCCTATTTGCACAACCACCGTAAAAGTCTCCCTCGTGCCAGCAATAGCATTCAGAAAGAAAAATGAAGTCATGAATAAACCATTCAATTTATCTTAGTATCAGCTGCAATAAATCTTTGTAACTAATATTTATGATACCCCTTATTTATAGAAATAGCACCTTTGACAATAAAGATAATCTTACCCTCTGAGCTTTAGCAAGTTCTTCCTTTAATCTTTCATAGCCCTTCTCCCTTACTTCCAATACAAAGGGACTTCTCAAATGAGACAGACTGTCTGTACTTTGTCCCAAGGCATCTTCTGCATCTTCTTGCACTTCATTTGCAAGCACACCTTGTAAAAATTCCACCTCAGCACGATGATTGCCAATGTCACTTGTCTTATGTTTTGAAGCGCCATACACTGTCACAGAGGTGGCACATGACATTGAGAATTGATTGCTGGAATCATTAATAATATTATGAAAAGATGACAAATACTGATTTAAGTAAGAAGAACAAACAAAATTCAGCCTATTCACACTAAAGTGCAAAACTGTACAGGACCACAGAATTAAAGGGCTATCTTACACAGTGAAATTAGTAACAGATTGCTGTTGCACAGCTATAATGATATTGCTCATTGTTTTAATTTTATGTACTTGCAACATAACAGTTGCAACTAGGAGCAAAATTTAAATACAGGATTATTTAGATACAGGCCCTTAGATACGGGGCGTATTTTTAGCATTTGACAGCTATGCCAAACAAATTCTCCATCTTCAAGGCGGCAAACTAAACATAGTTAGCATGTCCGAAGCATGAAAAAAAAATAAGAATTTTCTACAAGTGAAAGCCAATACTGCAGAAAGTTGATATACAAACTTTTGAAAAATAGCATGCAAAGTATTTACAGTGCACAATTATTACAGTTATGAATCTCAAACCTCCTTGCCTAAAAAGTATATCACTCGTTCAGCAAACTTTTGTGGTTTTTAAGTGAAACTTTCTCACGTTTTCTACTGAAATTTACAACAGTTCAGATTCACAACTGCCCTCTAGCATCTCGTCCATTTACCCTTGCTTAATGAGGGTGCTTACAGTTAGTGTCACAGGGACAATCATATCCAAAAATCAGATCTACACCTCACCTGCTGCACATCGAAGTGATTTCAAACTTTTGTTAATATAAAAGATATCCACAGTGGGAAACTGGTTGGCATTCTCCTAACTCAAGGGTGATAATAGTCAACTGTAGCATTCTGTAACTACTCTTTGGAAACTTACTTGGGGCTTTCTACCTTGGTGACACTTTTATTTACCAAATGTCTCATCATGAGAGCTTGCCAAATATTACTCAAGATACTACGCTTTTACTACTGGTGCAGAACAACATAATTTGAAGATGAATGACTACCATAAAACTAATCAGACACCTGCTAAAAGGACATATCCAAAATAAAGTCCATGTTCTAAAAATACAATTATTGTTTCAAAAAGCACCCATTTATTACTTATAAAAACTCTCAACAAACAACTGAAGAATATCACAGAGCACAGCATACGATCAAACTTAAAAGTTAGACATACCTGACATTTCTTGATTCTCCACTGCTGAGATGTTGAGAGGATGGATAAATTGGTTGTGTAGGAAGATCTACAGCAACCAGCGTAGTGTGTTGAATTGGGGTTGAGCTCACCAACGAAAGAGGGTGATAAGGAAGCTCTGAAGTAGCAATTTCTGAGGTCTCCAGTTCAGTTAATTCAGGGTAACCTGGAGAGGAAGGTGATGCCAAGTTCACCTCATGGAAGCCTTCAAGAGTGTTGCTTGCCATAGCAGTAAGTTCATTATATCAAGCCCTGTATAGATTAAAAAGGTAAATTTAGAAAAGGTAAGTCTATGGAAAAGGACAACCTGATAATATTCAATTAAAATATAATCTTCAAAACACAACAACAGAAAAGTGGCATACTTGCCTAAAACAAACACCCATAGCTTATCCTGAAGTAGAAGATTTTGAATTAATCATGCTATTAAGAAAAATAGCAACAGAACCTGACAAATTCAAATTATGCAGTAAACCAATGAAACTGGCCATGACAGAGCAATAGTCAGATGGGCACCACCCTGACATCCAGGTTAAAGGGAATGCTCCCTTGTTTCCTTAGTTAAGCTGGTTCCTGAGGATACAGTAACCAAGGATTCTGCCTTTTCCTCTATCACACTAGTACTTCTACCATAAAGGATCACTGCTCTTTCTTTGCATGTAGTTACTAATCTCAGCAGCTGTCATAAAATTTCCTTTCAAATTTAATCCACCTAATGTGTACATTCAAGGATAACAATGATCTATTTGTGATTTGTAAGTGATAAATGAAAATCAAGGTATCCAACAACTACACAGCAAATGTGTGATGAGTAAGCGATAAACAATTGCACTGTTAGAGTGCTCTCTTGATTGCATAGTATAATAAAAACAAACATAGAATCTGTGAAATTGAACCTACTGTGTTACTAGATTAAAATGTTAACGGTCCATTTTCAAACTGACTTCCCTTTTTCTACTGAAGGGATTGAGCCTGCCTCACTAATTAAGATTCTAAAGCACTGGTCATTTTCCAGGACAGTGTATCACAGCTAGCTATTAGTCAGATGCTGTGTCGATACAAAAATACAGATCAAATGTTTTAGCAAACATCATACAGAAAGTTATCATTTTCATAGTTTGAAGCCAGAAATTAGGTTGCGCCCTGCCACTTATATAGACCTGCCTTGACATTAGGATGGTCTTAGTAAAATTCAAAGATGCAGATACATACGCTACATCAACTGCATCATACAAAGATAGGAACCAAGTATTTTACTTTCTCTTCCATTCATTGCAATCACAGTTTAATAAAGTCCTTAATCGTCATTGGTAACACTTAGATTGTCTAACAATAGCAGCTTTAAAACTTAGTATCTTTTCTACATGACTTTTATAATCAAAATTTTAATTTAAGTGAGGAATAACTTTGATAAAATGGCATGAACTACATTCCATTTTCATAGGCTGAAACAGTGTGAAAGGAAGATCAGGTGTAGAAAGAGAGAATAGACGAGAGTCTGGCAGCGACCCTCCTCAGGCAGGTGGGCACCTTATTCAAAGCAACCCCCTTTTTCCTCCCCTCCTGACCCATCCATCAAGAACCCACCACCCACTTCACACTCTCTTCATTGGCTTCCTCTTACCACAGAGACACACCAGATTGCACACTTCCTGATTTGGAGATAGCCAACCAGGAGGTGAAATTTCCATCCTAGTGAGGGCAGAGAAATTATTTCCAGTCAATCACAGAGCATTAAAAGGCAGAGAGGCTTCTGTAATTGTTGAGGAAGGATTCCTCACTGCTCTTCAAGTAGTGCGGTGAGAAACATAAAATGTTCAATTTACAGGATCACACTTAATACTTGGTAGAAAACTCATTATGGCTTTAATTTTAATTCTGTTTGTCACCGCTACTTTCATTAGTCCAATTAGTCATCAAAACCAAAAGCACAGGTGTAGAAGTTATCATAATACAAGTTAATAAATATTATAAAAACTTCAGTTTTATCAATAGTCACTAAATTGAGTTAAACATATTCAATAGAGATCCCACTTATGAATTTATTAACGTGCAGTCAAAACTGCAAAAGCACAAAAGTAACTGGTTTGTGACTTGCAGCAAAACAATTGCACTTGGTCCCTGTTACATTTAATAGGCTGCTATGAAAAAATACCATGGTATCCACAGAATATGACTTTTATCCTACAACCCCTTCAATAAAACAGTCCGTCCAGAATTGAGTTTTACTTTATAAAGAAGTTTTATATGGGTTCAATAATAAAACTAGAGTAGTTTAAATTGGGTGTTGAAAACAGGACGCATTTTTCTTTGAGCTGCTATTAGAGTTTCCTCCATTCGGCTGTTTTTGTTTGTTTCTGTAATGGCTATAGGGATCATAATACATCACGAGACTTAAGGTACACAAGAGAGCAACCCAGCAAGAAAATGACTATCCAGTGCAAGTTTTTTCTATTTCAAAAATATACTTTATTCATAAAATATCTTTATATAAGTAAATAGTCACTGAAGCTGTTCAGTTCTGTACAGTAGTGTGAAGAAACAGACACACATTGGAGTTTGACTCCATCCAACAAACAAACCAAAGGCATTTTTTACTTGTACAAGATTACTGCAATGAGGCACTGAAAAATCTGAAGAAGGGTCCCGACCCAAAACGTCAACTTTCCTGCTCCTCCGATGCTGCCTGGCCTGCTGTGTTCCTCCAGCTCTACACTGTGTTATCTCAGACTCCAGCATCGGCAGTTCTTACTATCTCTCAGTGAGTCACATTCCAGAAGGAGCTGGGAGACAGTCTTTACACCCCGCACAGGGAGCAGTGATCTCAAAAATCCAGTATCTGCCTCATCCTGCTCAGTACAGCAGAGTTTTGGTCAGTGTGAATCACCGACCCCACAGCAAACTTGACCCGGTTAGCAATGATCTTAGATAGGATTTTGTAGTCTGCATTCAGCAGTGAAATTGGTCAGCAATTTCTAAATTTTCTCCCTCTCCCCCTCCCACAGACTAGCTGAAAGTCAGAGATTTTGATACCACCAATGGGTGCGTGCCAATTTTAAAAAGTACAGGTCATAGCTAGGCCAACTCAGTATGCTGTGAATTTTGCAGTTTTATCTATGTGTTTATAGCTCACTTTCAAAACAACTGTATTAGGTACAATAGACAATTTAAATAAAAATTCTCTAGCTATTGGTTCTATTGGCAGGTCGTCATATATTACCTAATTCTATTTGAACTGTTAGTTTTTATGAAAGGGCAGTTAAAAGTTAGTCTGGGAATGAATTACATGTAACACAAACTGAGTAAGGATAGCAGGTGTTCTTCTCCAAATGACATCAGTGAATGAGTTAGCTTTTTACAACAATTCAAAAATTGCATAGCTGAAACCAACTTTTTGTTTTCCAGATTTCTCTTAAAACTAATTTTAAATTTCAAGCTATTATGGTGCAGCTCAAATGCAATTTCTGAACCATTAGTTCAGTCTTTCGTATTATTTGCCAAGTACTATAACTTATGTTTCTTGGTTTACAAACCTACAAAGTTAGTCTGCATGTCAGTAGCAAAACCCTTAATTACCCAAGCAGAACTGAAAAGGCTCAACTTTATTCAGCAAGGCCAAGCTTTAGCTTTTCATCATAAACTCTGCTAATAAGAGCCTGCAGTTCTTGAATCTTGTGGCTCTCTCCCTGACCCATTCCATTTATTACCTACATTGTAAATTCAAAAGCTGAAGAGATGCCAAGTCACTGTCAGACAATAAATTTGCAGCAGAGAAATTGAAATTTGCTGTTCTGAATTGCAACACATTCATTTGTATTATAGCCCCAACAAAAACTAATCAAGTGCATATGCAGTAAATATTGCACTTAAAAAAGATCTGTTTGATGAAGATTTTGTAAATGAATTAAAATTCCCGAAGTATTTTCTACTGGCATGACTACATATTAGGCTGCTAAATTAACCACATTGGGGAGATTCTATATTTTACAGTATTTAGGTCATACACTACAGCAGAGGTTCTCAAGCCTTTTGCTTCTGACTAATTACAATGACAAAAAGCAAATGGGACTTGAATAGAGATTTCATGCTTATTAACTTAATCTCTCCATTCTAAAGGATTTCAAAGACTATGTAGTACTGGTGTACAAATTATACATTTTGATTGGAGTATATCTTCACTTTCAGTACAATATCACATTAATTTTATAGTTTAAGCTGATGGCTGAAATAATTCATCTGATGTCTACCATGAGTCTTCACAATTACTTTTTTCTGTTCTATTCTTTTTTTTTTGAATATTAAACTTACTCTTCTGAAAATAGCTTCATTATATCATAGGATGTCAGGCTGGATTGCGTCATACAGTTCCTCTTTTCTGACAGAGATTTGATGCAGTGTAGGTTTACTATTATTTAACAAAGGAACACAAGAAGCAAATTACAACAACGATACACCCACAATAAAACAGGTCAGTTAACATCTACAGGAAAAACAGGCCTAAAGACATTAATGGATGCCTTCAAACCTTTGATTTCAGCAAGAGATAACAACGTGTGGAGCTGGAGGAACACAGCAGGCCAGGCAGCATCAAAGGAACAGGAATGCTGACGTTTCGGGTCGGGACCCTTCTTCACAAATGAAACCTGTGCTACAGGACTTTGGCTCATGCAGCAGCCTAACAACACTCCATTACAACTGAAGTGTCGATAAAAACTGTATTGAAACCAGACATAGTAGGAACTGCAGATGCTGGAGAATCTGAGATAACAAGGTGTAGAGCTGGATGAACACAGCAGGCCAAGCAGCATCAGAGGAGCAGGAAAGCTGACGTTTCGTGCCAAGACCCTTCTTCAGAAATGGGGGAGGGGAAGGGGATTGGGATTCTGAAATAAATAGGGAGAGAGGGGGAGGCAGATGGAAGGTGGATAGAAGATGGACAGATCAAGGAGGTGGGGATGAAGCTAGTAAAAGGTGAATGTAGGTAGGGAGTTGGGATGGGGGTGGATCAGTGAGGGAGGGAGGAGTGGGTAGGTGGGAGGGAAGATGGACAGGTCAAGGAGGCGGGGATGAAGCTAGTAGTTAGGAGATGGGGGTGGGGCTTGAGGTGGGAGAAAGGACAGGTTAGGGAGGCGGGGACAAGCTGGGCTGGTTTTGGGATGCAGTTAGGGGAGGGGAGATTTTGAAGCTTGTGAAGTCCACATTGATACCATTGGGCTGCAGGGTTCCCAAGCGAAATATGAGGTGCTGTT